TGGGTTGGGGCTAAAATAAATTTTTCTTGTTATAATAAGATTCTTTGGAGCAAAAAAAAAAAATTTTTTACATTAACTTTAAGAAAAAATATATCTTCAAAGTAAAAAAAATTTTAGAAAGGACTTAATTAATGAGTTTTTTGCTAATTGCCCAGTCTTTCAAATTCGGCACAAACATATATAAAAATATTTTTAAATATATATTATATTTTAATAATATTTTAAAAATAAAATATATATAAAATAGTTTATATTTCAGGAAAAATAAAATCTGTGATCATTCCCTTATTAAATATCTTTCATAGGCCCACATTTATATAAAGAGAGTAAACTGCTTCGAAATGTCACTTTATTTCTACTAAGGTTGAGGCGGGGAAAGGATTGTTGCTCCCCTTGTCACACAGTTTGTTCTTTTTGAATGCGCACGTTCCCAAAAACTGTTAATATTAAAGATCATTGGTGGAGAGTTGAACTTATTTTTCCCCGTTCCCAAACACCCCCTTACCCAAACTCCCACCTAGTTCACAACCTACCCCGCAACCCACCTAGCCCAAACACCCACTATTCGGAAATAGTAAACAACCCCCCAATTGCGAAAAAGAGACTACGGCCCATCCTGGAAATTCAGCTGCTCCCACTAATATTTGGGACGGACCAAAATAGTGTCATTTTTTACAAACTTTTCATAGCTGTAACTTATTTAGTTTTTTGTTATTATTTCCAAAAAAACAAAAAAAGTAGTGTTTTAATTTTTTATTTGCAAAAACTTTTTTATATGAAATATTTTTATTCTGTTATAATGCGATTGCAAACTTTGTTAATCTGTGTTTTGGTCTGGAAAATTTAGGTTTTGCAAGTTATTTCTGAGTTTTTGTTTATGTGTAGTTGTGACGTGGGGGTGACACTCTTCGGGGAGGTGGCATGGTAGCCTTGTGTCTATGCGGGCCGCATTAGGGTTGACAAGGTGTCGGGGAAACTGAAGGCTCATGACCAGTAGAGCCGAAGTTGATGGCAGGTTGAAGCCAGCAGGTCATGAAATCTCCACTGAATGTGCAGTCCTGTAGGAAGGTAAAAAGAACTAGGGTGTTATACCTGGCATTTACGCGTTAGTCCTGAGGGAGGAAAACATCGGGATTACATCTGACGTTTAGCGTAGTTACTATGTGACTAAACCCCACTAAGCAGTCACCAAAATGACTACTACACCACTATAGTAATCACCATAGTGACTACTGCACTCCATAAAGACAAATACACCACTAAGTATCACTATAGTGATACACACTCACTATATATCACCATAGTGTTACTGCACTCACTAAATGACCTTTCATCACATAGTAGTCACCATATGATAAAAGCCTCACTATAATGACTATACATCACTATTTACTACTACATTGCTAAATAGTCAATAGTGCTACTACATCACATAGGACTAAATACTTCGCTTTAAAATAGTCACATAGGCTACTACCTCACTATAGGATACTACATTCGCTTTTAGTCCATATGACAAATACACTCACTATAGTAGTCACTTAAAATGACTACTACACTACTAGTAGTCACTAAAGTGACTACTACACTCACATAGTAGCACTATATGACTCTACACCCTATAGTAGTCACTTTGACTACTACACTCCAAGTGTCACATAGTGACTACCATCATATAGTCCATATGACTACTACACCACTAAAGTAGTCACTTAATGAACTACACTCCTAAAGTAGTCACATGTGACTAATACAGGGATTGGGAATTGCGTTCAGTAACGAGAATTTTTTTAGCATCCGTTTCGACGGGGGGAATCACAAAAGAAAACATTTGATTCGTCATGTCCGTGCTGAGATAAATTAAGTTTTTCAGCAGCGAGTCGGAAAAAGGGGTTTAAACCCAGGCGAGTAGTCGACCTTTCGGCGGGGTTTTAAATCACACCAAGGGGTTTTGATTACAGGACAAAGGGCCTTTAATATATGACCTTTAAAGTAATTACCCTGATTCTGCTAAAAGCTCTTGCTTCAAGAAAATTGATTACCCCTTTCAAAAAAAACCCTATTTCTCACTTAGGGGGTTTTCTCTTTCCCCTAAATTTAATAAGGTGGTGGCTTTCCTCAACCTACAAAGAGAAGTGAGGGCCTTGATGCTATTTAAGATTTTTTAAACCCAAAGGGAAATAGGGCTATCCCCCACAAATGGTCAAATAATCCCTCAAGCAACTGCAGTGACATAGGCACACTGAACCGCATAGCAGTGGAAAACACAACTCGTTTTGCTTAGGGGAAAAAGGGAAACCCTGAAGAAGACTGACATTCTTTTAACCACCCCCTATTACTCCCGTTTTCCCTACAGATGCAGCGCTTCCCCATAAAAAAAATAAAAAAAATAATTAAAAATTCAAGCGGGTGCAACCCGGTAATAACATCGACACATTGTGTTTTAAGATACAAAAAAACTTTTGGGCAAACACGAGGGGAGGGATCGAACCTCTGGGAGGCGAGTCCTACACCTCAGGCCAGTCATTGAACCACTAGGCCATGCCGGCCTAACAAACGTTTTACTACGAATTTTGTGGGGTCCCTTTAGAAAAAAGATGGGTGAACCCGATCCCGGGCTCGTGGCTTGGTTGATAGCTTTTTCGGTTCAACATTAAGGGGTCCGGGAACGACCGGCCGGCGAAACTTTTGGGGATGTTTCCTTCAATTTTCCAGTGTTCCCTAGCAGTAATGGTATCGGGTGTTTCAAAATGCTCTGCAAAACCTAGCGTCTTTATGATGGCTACTTAAATAGTTTTTTTTTAGTAGTTTGATATTTTTAAATAACAGCCATCCCAAACTTGGTAATTTAAATTCAGTCTACTTCTTTCACGAAAATAATTTACGCCAGTAAGTCAATCAACTTTTCTAATACACAGGAAACTTAGTTTGTTGAAGAATTTAATTAAATATATATATATATATATATATATATATATATATATATATATATATATATATATATATATATATATTATAGATATAGATAGACACAGTTGACCCCCTTAAACAACATGGGTTTGAACTGCGTGGGTCCACTTAAACGCGGAGTTTTTTCAATAAATATGTTGGAAAATTTTTTGGAGATTTACGTTTGAAAAGTTAAGAAAAAGTTAGCTATATAATAAATGCTTAAAATATATGTAGATACTAATCTATTTTACCGTTTACTAACAAATTATACACAAAACTATTATAAAAAGATAAACTTTATTAAAACTTACACACAGGATTCGATGAAATAACTTTAAAAAAAAACGAGCTTGGTGCCCGGGGGTATGGGGAAACATCGCTTAGCTTCGGCTAAGCGCCCGTACTTTTCGTGGGTCTAGCTCCGTGGTAAAGTACCGTGAACTCTGATATAGCGTTAGCAGGCTCGAGTCCTGCTGTGGACGTAGAGACAATGTTTGTAAATAATTTCGCTTGTTTGCGAATTGTTAAACATATATATGTCGTGCCGAATAGGCAGAACTTGCGATCTTGGCTTAAATAGAAACGCTCATCTTGCCATATAGGACAAGTGAAAATTTGTGTATGCAATAATTTCGCCAAAATCATTCTGAACCTAACGAAAAAAATATATTTGATTATGTTTGTTTATTACTAAATTATTGTAATCGTATTTAAAATATATTTAGTTGGGTTAGGCTAAAATAAATTGCTCTTGTTATAATAAGGTTAGGTAAGTTTTCTAAGATTCTTTTGGTGCAAAGTTAAAAATTTTTACATTAACATTAATGAAAAAAATATATCTTTAAACGTATAAGAGAAAATTTCAAAAAGGACTTAATTTAAAATGAGTTCTTGCTAATTGACCAGTTTTACATATTCGGCACGACATATATATATATATATATATATATATATATATATATATATATATATATATATATATATATATATATATATATATATATATATATATATATATAATATATAATATATATATATACATATATTGCAAATCGAAATTGGTTATTTGATGTGTGGGCTATTGTTAGTGTAATGTGAAGTGATTTTGTGTTGTGTTGCTTGAGTTGGATTTGGTTAGTGTTTGGGCACTGGTTTTTGTTTGTGATGTTTCTCTTTTTGTGTCTTGGTGTGTTGTGTGAGATTATTTTTGGCAATGTGGTGGGTGAACTGGCTTTTCATAAACCCCAGTGGAAATAAGTCACTTTGTCTGACTCTCTCCTAGGTAATTTACACTATGCATGATAATTGTACTTATGTGTACCTATAGCTATTTATGAACAATTTTTTGTAGTGTGATGTGGTATTTATAGCTTTTGTTAGTATGAACTCGACTTTTTTAGTGTATTACGTGTGAGTTGGCCATTGTCGGAATGTACTGCCGTTTGTTAGTGTGGTGTACGAGTTGGCTTTTGTTTTTGTGAACTGGCTTTGTAAGTCATGAAGTTATGTAGGGTAGAAGTTGTACTAAACCGCTTGGTTCACTGAACCACATGGTGCACTAAGCCACATGATTCGCGAAGCCACATGTTCACTAAGCCTCAAGATACACTAAATTTACCGAACATACTACTAAAGCCACAGCGGCTGTTACAAGCAAGTGGGGCTATACAAAGTCAAAGTTTTTTCTTAGCCAAAGGGGCTATATTAAACACTCTAATAAGCCACAGACTGTACTAAGCCCTCACTGCACTAAGTTTCCAATTGCATTAAGCCAGCGACTATAGTTCAGCAGACAAGTACTAACCTAGATACGCTAACCTAAAGCATGTCTAGGTTAGTACTTGTCTGCTGAAGTATAGTCGCTGGCTTAATAATAGCTATTAACCCAGTCGTTATTCTAAGCCTTTCATTTTACCAAGCCAGTAAATTAGTCTAAGCCTTTCACTTTGCTAAGCCAGGTTATGTACTAAGCCCCCTACACTTCACTAAGCCAGGTTATATACCAAACTTCAAATTGGACTAAGGTAGGATCATCACTGCATATGTTACTAGTATAGCAGCAGCACCCACCTGAAGAAGTCATGACCGTAGACAAGTGAGAGGCCGGTGAGGACGCCCTGCGGCGCCTCCGTCAACAGAAAAAGCAGCATCACCACCAGCAACATGCTTGTCGTCCTCTCCGTAGCACCCTGTAACACAGAAATGATTATTTTAGTCATGGCAAAGAGTTAAACTCAAAGGGGTCGTATATCGCCTAAGGTATGGAAGGATATCATGTTTGATTCATGGACGGGCAGGGGAGCTATTGTAGTTTCATGGGTCAGGAGTTCTTCACAAGCATCGTGGCACCTCATTTGAATGTGAAAAGATAGGGAAAGTTAGTGCTCAGACGTGAGAACTCTCATCCCTTGACGGCTAAGTTTATTTAGGCACGGGTACACTAAATATTATAAATTGCCTATGATAAGTCAAAGTGACTTATTTCCATTAGGGAAAGTTTGGCGCTGCTTAAGTATTGATTAACAAGTGTGTTCGTTCACTCATCTCGCGGTTTCGTTCTCACTCTCGCGATCTCACTCACTTGCTGTCTAGACAAACAACACCATCTCGTAATCCATCATTTGTCTTCGTTTGTAAGCTCGTGCCTTCACTCTAGTCTTTATACGGGGTAAATCCTTACAAGGCAATGTGTCCTAAAGATTTAACTTTTTTTTTTTGTTTGTAATGGGTTAAAGTCGTTTTATATCTGTAAGCTTTTTTATGCCAAATATCACAGTAGAAAAAACAAAAAGAAATAAAATACCCGAACACTTCCGAGCGTTTATACACATTTGTTCAGTGGAACTAGAAATATAATGGTTAAAATATTACATCATGTTTGAGAGGGTAACTGTATTTTAAAACCCCACGGACTCGCGTCACTAAGGCTGACGAAGCCAGCTGTTGGTCTGTTGAGGTACTGCCTTAGGGCCATACATTTTCATGTATGTTGTTAACAATCGTATACAGCTGTGTGCGCCTGAGGTCGCTTGTTGTCTTGCACCAGCAATAGGGACTCCAGTAGCTACTACATGACAAAAAACACGCGCGCGTGCATGCATTTCTGGTGTATCTTGGACACACAAGTCTAGTACATCTTGATGGTCACACAAGTCTGGTACATCTTGATGGTTCTATAGCCTATGGTACTATAGCCGCCACAGGCGGCTATAGTACCGCAGGTAGGTGACTCCTACCATCTAATAATTCATTCGACACCTATTAGTACGAGCCGCAGAATGGAGGATTTTGGTGGACTTTGTCATGAATTTAATTGAATCCGATGTTCTAAGAGCTAGCCTAAAAGTTTTTAAACGAGTGTATTGGATTTATGCTTACAAAGGGCTATCTATCCGTTCCAGAATTCTGTTCCGTTATTTCGTGTTTATAAAGGAAGAGGATAGAATGATTGTAAATTAATGATGTGCGTGTATTTGTTGTGGGGGTTTCACTTCCCAGTGAAGGACCATATGAAGCGCCGTCTTTGGAATCTGGTCGCTTCTTTTCAGAGTACTGTAACCTAATGTTTGTTTCATCTGTTTCTTTGGTCCTTTAATTTCATTCTCTCTCATTCTCCGGTGGTAGTTAGGAAAACGAATTACAGTTCTTCACTTAAAGCTGCCACATCCAGTTCATGCAAGCATTGCTGTTGTTTTTATTGTATACTTTTTATTTCATAGAGAAAGACGTTTTCCTGATTTTTCCATAAAACAAAGTGACGTTGTGATTGTTCTTTATTTTCTGAATTTTGTATATTTTAATGTTTTTACCTTATTTGTATGGGTAGTCAGCCGAGATATCAGGTGAAGGTTAACAGTTAACATAACTTGTGACATAACTTTACGGGAGATGAACCGTCGAAGTAATGAGAGGGAGATGTACAGTTGAAGCCATGGAAATGTATGTATGAATTAATTCAAGCAAAGTTGTACCTGGTTATCTTCTTCACCATCCGTTTGTTCGCTTCTCTATTCCCATTAGGAGGTAAGACACATAGGCAACAGTTAGGCAACTATATTCCGAAACGTTTCGCCTACACAGTAGGCTTTTTCAGTCGAATACAGAAAGTAGGCAGGAACAGTCGAGATGTGAAGACTATGTAATCAGTCCATCACCCTTGAAGTCGTAGAATTTTGAGGTTGTCAGTCCCTCAGCCTGGAGAAGTTCAGTTCCATAGTCAGGAACTATCTGAAGATCAAGCGACAGTGAGGAGACTTAAATACTGTCGGAAGGAGAGGTGCAGAGTAGTAGTAGTAGTGAGAATGTATCCACTGAGAGGTCAGGTCCCTCTCAGATTCAACAGTTCTCACTTGAAAGGGTTGTCCAAGGTGTTTTCTGTACCAAGAAGCCATGTGTTGCAGTGTCTGACAAGATGAACATCAGTGGATACATTTTCACTACTGCTACTACTCTGCACCTCTCCTTCCGACAGTATTCAAGTCTCCGCACTGTCGCTTGATCTTCAGATAGTTCCTGACTATGGAACTGAACTTCTCCAGGCTGAGGGATTGACAACCTCAAAATTCTACGACTTCAAGGGTGATGGACTGATTACATCGTCTTCACATCTCTACTGTTCCTGCCTACTTTCTGTATTCGACTGAAGAAGCCTACTGTGTAGGCGAAACGTTTCGGAATATAGTTGCCTAACTGTTGCCTATGTGTCTTACCTACCAACCTGTCGGTATTGTATACCATTTTGATGTTCATTCCCATTAGGAAGAGACATACCGTTCAGTTACGAAGTTCGATTCATTCCTAGTACCGTCTCGGCTTATCGGACATCTGAACGCCTACGTAGCAGCTGTCTGCGAGAACAGCTGTTGTACTTGTCTCTTCGGATCCATATTGCTTATTAGATCGATATAAGGTTCCTGCATCATCAACAGAATTTAGATCTTGAGTTTTAGTTGCGTAGCTTTGTCGATCTTTTTATTTACCTTTAGGATTTAGTAATTCATTTGTTAAAAAAGGTCGATTTTTATCTGAAATGAAGATCAATTTTCATTATTTTTCCTTGTGTAATTTTTCACAAGGAAAACATACCATCTTTCCATTTCTTTGACAGTGTTATCGATTAACTTTAAATTTCATAAGATCTTTTTACTCCAGTGAATCATAATTATTTTGTACCTCGAAGGCTTAATTGAGATCTTCAGTTATGCTTCTTTAAGGAAAAGGGGTTTAGTGATATATACATATACATATATATATATATATATATATATATATATATATATAATGTATATATGTATATATATATATAATGTATATATATATATATATATATATATAATATATATATATATATATATATATATATATATATATATATATATATATATATATAATATATATATATATTATATATATATATATATATATATATATATATATATATATATATATATATATATATATATTTAATATATATATATATTCATTTTATTAATTTTAAAACCTCTCTTGACTGGTAAGACACTCATGCAATACTTAGGTATCTTTATTGTCAATAAAGATACCTAAGTGTTGCACATATATTGCTCGTCAACTTGTCGATATCGATAAACTTTGGAAAATAATTGTTATATACAGTATATGGCATCTATAAAATATAATATTTGACCTTATCAGTCCTAGAACTAATGTGGTCACCATTTACAAGACGATAAAATAATTTTGTTGTTTTTCAAATCATTTAAAATAATATTTAACACTTACGTAAAGTGAGATACTCTAATATTCTTTGTATGCAGAGAGGCAGAAAGGTGGAGAAGGGTAGGCGGGAGAGAGTTTACCTTGTAAAGCTTCAGACGTTTACGTCATTGGTCCCAGAGTGGCATGCAATACCGACAAGATTAAATTTAGACACATGTGCAACATCTGGGTATCTTTATTGTAGACGTTTCGCCATCCAGTGGCTTTATCAATACAAATTCGTCTGCTACACGTCCTTTTCCACCTGGCGTTAGTATATAAGCGCCGGCCTCCTTGCCTTTGCTCCACAATCTCCACAACCACGGTCCTCTCTACACCATCTCCAAGGCTAAGGGACTGATTACCTCATCTTCTGTATATAGTTCTACTGTCTTCAAATTATGTCCTGGAATTTGTATTGATAAAGCCACTGAATGGCGAAACGTCTACAGTAAAGATACCCAGATGTTGCACGTGTCTAAATTTTATCATTGGTCCCATAGGATGCTTAAAGCGAGTGAGCGAGGGAGGTTGACGTATTGCTATGAATACACATTATATTTTCTCACATCAACGCCAAGATCATTTTATTGATGCTAGCAGATTTTATATATTAATTACTGTGAAACATTAGCTGATTGAGTAATAAACTAAATAAAAAGTCACAAAACCGTGGATGGAACAATTCACCAATAACCCGCGCTGAGGAGAGAAAAATTATGATGTTTCGATCGATCTTGGACTATTGTCAAATCCCACTTGTGACTTGACAGTGATCCAGGGCAGACCAAGATCAAGAGAGTTTAGGTAAGACCCCAATGGGGTGAGCGGGGAAGACGGGACAGGCGAAGAATAACGTTGGAGAGGAGTGTCCTTAGTCGTAGAAAGAGTGCCAGGGCTTAACCCAGCAGCTAGGCGCTCGTGGGATAGCTTGGAGAGTCAGGAGTCGCCGGCGATGTTAGACACGAGAGGCAAGCTGTGCAGGCTGAATCTTGAAAACGGTGGAAGGTGATTGGTGGCTGGAGATCAGCGGGAGGCGGGATGGAGAGGGAGGCAAGACTTCGAGGTGAATGGTCGTTATGTTTGTAGAGAGTTGGCAGTTACGTCGTTATTGGTAGAAGATATCTCTTCATAGCAGTGTCTGTATTAGTTCCTTATTCCAGTCGTGGAGCCATTTTGAAGTCTTTTGAATACAGATTTTGACAATAGGGTAATTTTGACCAGGTGATTAAAGTCGGCCGCTAGGTCTTCAATTATGGCGATTTCAGTGATGTTCGCAACCAGGAACAACAGTGTATTTGATAGTTCATTGGTGCATGTTATAGATTGCTTGAGTTGCATTCAACGACAAGCTGAGTGGATTACTTGTGTATAGTGATAGGTTCAGTTGTTCTAATATTTGTTTTTTCTTCCATTTCTTCAGGTATTGGGGCATCTTGAGGTGAAGTTTCAG